ACTGCAAGCTGTATAAGGTCTTTTTTTAACCTGCCAGTACTTTCAACTGTACATACAGTCATCACCAGGCATGGAAATTATTTTGTTTTTAGCAAATACAGGTAGCAGTGGAGACGAAAGATTAAATGCGAATCGAAATATGTTTTTTAAAAATGTGTTATTGTTAACGGATAAAAAAATTTTGTAGCGTGCTGTCACATATATATATATATATATATATATATATGTGTGTGTGTGTGTGTGTGTCTCTGTGTGTGTGTGTGTATCTATTCGTATCTGTCTCTCATACAAGTTATATTTAGATAGCAGGAATTCAATCAAATGTTTTATCAATATTATCACCATGTTCTCTCAGATGAGGTTTACTCATAAATAATTGCTGTTTTGGGGAACCAGTTTGAATGACCAATGTACCTAACTATTAACTCTTTGAGTCCTGACCACCGCTTTATCAGTGGTAGAGAAAAAGGACTTCATGCCAAGCCACAAACACTTGCGCCGTGTTTTGCTATTCTGGTGCATCAAGAGAGGCAGCACCTGCTGGGTATACTGGCACACAAAGAAAGAATTCTGGCGATTAATTGAAGGCATGCAATCATACTCTCTCCCTGCTAAGTATAATGCTTATATTTTGTATAACTATTTTTATATCTACCGTGAAACATTGCATACCAATTATTTGCGAGTTTTAACTCAGGAGCTCAGACAGAAGGGTTAAAATTGTTCCGCAACGCAGGACTCAAATGATAATCTTTAATCATATGTGGCACTTAAGACTTAATTTAGAGTGGATTATCATATTTGAGTGGCAGTAGATTAAAGGAAATTTGTTATTTTCTACAATGCCAACGCAAGGCCACATGCAGTAAAAATAACACAGGAACCAATTTTGGAAATTAATTGGCTTGTTCAAATTCTGCCGCCATATTGGCTTGTTCAAATTCTGCCGCCATATTGGCTTGTTCAAATTCTGCCGCCATATTCATGTGACCTGTGCCAACCGATTAACTTTCTCAATCGCCCCAAAAAAGGTTTTGATAAGGAAAACTATTTTTTCTAATGAAACCCAGATTCAAGAATTCGTCGAAAACTTTTTCACATTAAAATCTGCGGAATTTTACTCAAATGTTTTTGGTTGGTTTATTTTGTTTATCGGCATCTCAACCGCTATGAGTTATGTAATGCCGAAATCTAAATATTTTGAACCCAATTTTATGGCTTATACTAAATATCTTTTGAACGCAATTGTATTCCTTTAACTACTATATTGTTGATTATTTTGCTATAAAATGTATTGTTGGTAAGTTTTTATATAAAAATGTATTGCTTATATTTTTACTATAAAAAAATATTTTCATACTTTCGTAGCATTTTCTTTTTTGATTAGAGGTTCACGATCTACACATAGCTGAGACCCAAACAAGTGCTACCACTCATGGGTAGGTTGGACCCGGAAACAAGAGCAATTAAGAAGTGGTTCCATGAACCTTAAACTCTCTAATCTTCCGATCAGAGGTTTTGCTGCCAGATGTAGTTTATCGTCATACCCAACACAATAATCAAATGTTATCGAAGGGATCTTTGATAAGTGGCAACTCATTGGAAATAATTGTTGAATAAAATGCAATGTCATTTTATTTTTTATAGAATAAAGCTGATAATATAAAAATTGAAATTAATTAGAACGCTTATAGTTTTTTTTTTTTTTTCAATAATTGATACTAACGATCTGTCTCAGCCATTTTCAGGTCCTTCGTAAATATCTATGCAGGCGATATCACTTTCCAAATCTAGAAGACCATCTGATCTCTTCTCTGAGTTTGCCCATACCACTCACTGAGGGAAGAACTTGATTGTAACGTTCGATAACAAGATGGAATCGTTTCATAAACACGGATCAGAACCTGAGTTTTCAGCAATGATGATGAACGGTTGCATTCTCAATAAAGCTTTGTCTGGCCTGTCTATCTGGACTCTAACTCACTCCAGATCTCAAGTGCAACTCCTATATACGATCCATAGCTAAAGATCCGGAAAAACGATTGGTTATTATTAGCACTTCATAAAGTACCACAATTTACAATGGAATTCATATAAAACCAATTGATGTTAGAAACACTTCTAACATGCATATGCATTTATATAACCAGGTGTTTTCCCGATTATCAAATCCTTCGTATCTGGTAAGTTCATGAAGATCATTGTTAATGGTCAATCCTCTGAAAACCATGAGATCAATGCCAGCTTACCTCAACGCTCTCTTCTCGGCCATATTCACTTTTTCTTGGTAAATATCTATGTAGACGATAGCAAGGTTGATGGATGCACTTCCAAAAATGGTGAAGACCAGCTGATCTTTCCTCTGACCTTCCTGCCACCACTTAATGAGGGGGGAACAAGCTTGTAAATTTTGATACCTTCAAAAACAAGCTAGTAAGGGTTCATGATGTACGATGAAATTGAGTGAAATACAGAATGAGGTAAAAGTTGCGGACCATATAAGAGGGTCTTGTTGACTTGCCACCAAGGTCAACCTTAGATTTTGTTTTTCTGTGGGGTCATTTGAAATCGGTTATTTATAAAACGCGCCCAAGAAATATTGAGGAACTTAAAGAAAGAATTAAATATGAATGCAGTAAAATAACAGAAGAATTGTGCAGGTACAGAATTGAAACGTGATTTGAAAAAGAAGGACATTTTGAACAGCATATATAATTCAATTAAATAACTAGTAAATAAAAATTGCATGCATAATTATGCTTTAAATAAAATGTCACTCTATGGCGCGATATATGCCTCGCCCTGTATATTTAGACTTAAATTCATAATATTTCCTCTTTGTGTGCTCTTACAACAAACGTATTTACTAATCCTCTACCTTGAGTGGCTTTTCAGGCTTTTATTGCTTGAAAATAGAATTGAAAATAAAAAAAACTTATACATCCAAAACATTTTTAAAAGTTATTATATATCCAAATATTCTGTGTGTCGGGGGACGTCTGAGTGTATCCTGGTGCATCACACTGTTTTGCCTTGAAGAGACACTGCAAATCAGTGTGATTTCAAAATTTCCGATTTTTTTTTTTACTTCTGAACTCTCCTGTTTGCTCAGGCTTTTTTCTGTTGCTTCATCAACCCACAAAGCCAATTTGTACTTAAAATATTCCGAGCTGTTCTTAAATTCGGTTAAACTGTATACACACCGAACCCTAGAAAAGGTTTTCAGTTCAAAGATGTCCTTGTCCTATACTGGCTGACAACCATGTCTAGAAAGTCCAGTATGTTGATAGCTAAAAGCAGCGGAGACGGATTCATACAGTGAGAAAATATTTCTTATTGTTAAAAATATAGAAAATGAAACAAGTAAAATAATCTGTAAAGGAATAAGTAAGATTGCAACCGATTTTCTTTTGTCTTTTTATTTTTAAATCTAGTTCAACCCAAGCAAGGCAGTAAAGCCACTGCGACACAAAGGGTTACTTGGTGTGGAAGAGTTTGAAACAGAAATATTGTTAAGAAGTAAGAACAAAAGAAGAGTAATCAGGAGGACAGTAGATAGCGGTTGACATTGCATTTAAATTTTTGCAACCGGAAGCGAATTCCACAAGTGAGAAGTGAGAGAAAAGAAATCGTTGGAATAGAACTTACGTCTAGCCAGCTCTACTTTAAATTGGTGTGACCTCGTCACCAGTCTAGTATTGCATTTAAATACCCTTTAAGGTTCTATAAGGACGAAATCATCCGAAGTATTACCATGGAATTATTTATAGAAAAAGTCACAGTGAGGCAAACTTATGGTGGTAGAAAAGAGATTGAAGCAGTGACGCCAGAACATGACCAATAATACTGCTGATTCTTCTTTGGATTTTATCAAGAAGCTCTACGTAAATATCAGGGTCACCTGACCAAATATAGCAATAATATTCTAAGCATAGACAAATGGTAGAGCTATTGATATGTTAGACAGATTCTGGAGAGAAAAATTGTCTAGCACGACACAGTGAACCAACTTTCTTAGCAGCTGACCTAGAAATGAATTCAATATAGTCTTTTCACCTCATGTAAGCTGGGAACGTTAAGGCACAATGAGTCTGGTGAGTAAAAAAAAACAACTAGTTTCAAGATAGACTTAATATGGTAATATTAAATAGTGCGTAAATTGTCAAATATAGAAAAATAGTTGAACCATTTGAGTAAGAGGTGAAATCTTTTTCTCGTTTATATTCACTTTACGCTCGTTTCAGTTTTCAGATAACGAGGTTTACGTCCACCAACTTAGCGATAAAATCTCCAAGCATTCAGCCTTCAGGCTTCCCATTTGCTATCGCAACTAACGACACAATTGCACTAACACGGAATTTGTGATACGGAGGTGATAAAATACTTTACACAGATTTGTCTAATGTGCCTCCATCTATCTCTTTTACACTCTTGTTTTTTATTTTCTCATTCTCTCTCTCTCTCTCGTATTATACCTTTGTCTCAACTCCTCTAAATCGATTGTTTAAGAGTTTTTACCTATCCCTATAACGACTTAATTTATCTCTTTTTCATACTATTTCTCTGTCTCCCTCTTTCTCTCTCTCTCACACACTCACACACAACACCTCACACTGTTTGTACTTCTTATAAATTTTCTATCATTGGTGTATGTCATCGTCATTAGTATCTCTTTTTTTCCTTTCTCTTTCTTTCTTTCTTTCTTTCTTTCTTTATTTATTTATTTATTTATTTCTGTTTCCCTCTCTGAGTGTTCCTTTTCCGATAATGCTCTAAATCAATTATTTTTACACACTATGCTCTCTCTCTCTCTCTCTCTCTCTCTCTCTCTCTAACGATTTCTATTTCACTCTCCTTCTCTCTTCCTTTTACCAATTTATCATTTTCTCAGCTTCTCTAAATCCATTCTTTATCATTCCCCCCCAACACACACACTCTGTCTCTCTCCCTAAGGATTTTATTTATCACACTCTGATTTTCTCCCTCTCTCTCATTCATTTATGCTTTCTTTCTTTGTTTTTCTCTCTTTCATTCTTTTTCCTCTTACCATTGTATCTTTTGCTCAAATTTTCTTAATTGATTTTTCATTCGTCTCTATACACACTCTTTACCTTACGATCTTAATTTTTCTCTCTCTTTCTCTCCCCTCTTCATTCATTCATTCATTCTTTCTTTCTTTCTTTCTTTCTTTCTTTCTTTCTTTCTTTCTTTCTTTACTACTTCTGTCTATTTTTTTCATTCACTCGTTTTCCTTTTCCCCTTTGTATCTTTGCTCATCGTTTTTTAATCGATTTTCATTAGCCTCCCCCCCACACTCTCTCTCTCTCTCTCTCCGTAACGATCTTATTTCTCTCCCTCCACTCCTCTCCCTCTTTTTTCTTTCTTTCTTTTTTCTCATTCACTCTTTTTCTTTATCCCATTGAATCTTTTACTCAACATTTTTATTAGTATCTACTCTCGCCCTCTCTCTCCCAAACGATCATATTTCTCTCTCTCCCTCTCCCTCTCTCTCTTCCTGTTTCTCTCACTGTTTCACATACAACCCCCATACGCATTTCCCATGCTCTCTTTCCTTCTTACAACATTGTATTCTTGTTTCTCTTTATTTGTTTTTTTTCTTTTTCCCGTTTACTTTCACTTCCAAGCTTATAGCTGTAAGTACATCAATAAACTTGTAACCTAATGATGGAAAAAGAATTGTTTTGATACAAAATTATTTAGTTTTTCAATATACTATCCTTTTATTTAATATTTTTAAATCAGTGTTGAAAATTGGGTTGCATAACTAAGTCCCTCGCCTAAAGCCAAAAAAAGCCATAATTTACAGTGTCCTTTTTTTTTATATTAAAACATTTATCTCAGTCGTGAATAAGCAAATACAGTAGTCCACCCCTATTAGGCGAATCAGTTTACCGTGGTACCCGATGTACCCCGGGTGGTGCACACAAGATTTTGCCCTCTTACCCTAAATATCGCTCGCTTTTTTTTTTTTTTTTAGAAATTCCACCCTATTTTACCAATTTCTTGGCCATCTTCTTCACAATAGACAATAAGTTGAAATTTCGGGTAATTTGCTTTTTAAGCCCCGCAATAAGTATATAATAAAAATTTCCTGAATAGTTATATTTACGTATAAATTTACATGCTTAATTCGAAAATAACCTTTTTGGAGTTATTGTCAATAAAAGTTCGGACTTATTCGTGTCGCAGCAGCCATTACTAGTGTTGTTTGCATATATATGATGCAGAATAGCCAATTACTTGCCTCAATTATTGCGCATGCACTGATGCACACAACACCATTAATGGCTGCTGTGCTGTAGCCGACAAAGGCACGAATGAGTCCGAAATTTTATTGGCGATAACTCCAAAACGGTAGATTTTATAAACATTTCTTTGTTATTTTCGATTTAGGCATGTAAATTTAGAATAAAAAAAATAACTATTCGGGGAATTTTTATTAGATACTTAACGCAGGGCTTAAAAGGCAAATTACCCGAAATTTCTTATGGAATCATTGGCATAAATCAGTATAAATTTTTAGAGTTTTTTCGAACCATTATCTACGGTGTATATATCGAAATAGAACAAATAGGGCCGAAAAATCAGGGAGGTGTTCAACCTCCTGTTATCGCTCCCACTGATACCGCGATTCACTTGCAGCGCGGGTCGGCCATCTTTGACCCCAACACCCGCTCTACAGCGGTGGACTACTGTAAGACAGCATCCTAACAGTGACAAAGATAATTTATTTTATATGACAAATATTTATCTTAACATCGTCTACTGTTTCGATTTCTGGGATGAGATGTCATCATAAACATTCACATAAAGTCGAATAGAGGGGAAGAGAGACAAGGGAAAGCAACGCATGACATAACTGATTTGAGGAAATGGATGACAGAACGTGGTCTGGGGTGGGGGGATGGCAGAGAGAAGACACTTATTAGGAACTACAAGGAATAGGGAAATGTGGAGAGCCATGATCGCGTACGTCCTGAGAGGACACAGCACATAAAAAGAATGAAAAAATAGCGGGTAGAGAATTTTTACTGCGGCATTAAAATGGACACATTAATAATGTCACCATACGGATGAAACACCAGTTTGCCTAAGAGCAGCGAAGTTAAGCAACGTCGAGTTTTGTCAGTACCTAGATGAAGGGTCGTTTGGGAATATCAGTTGTTGGAATCGTGGATGAGCGGGTGGTATAATCGATACTGACTCGGAGGTCTTAATCGGAGGGCCGATCTCCAATTCAACTGAAGTTTGTTATATTTACTTGCGCGCAGAGGCACTTGCGAATGCTCTGAACCCATCTCTTCTTCATCCAGCTATGGGTTAATTAGTAAGAATTGTATCACTAAACCATTATTATCTAAAAAAAACTATCTAAAAATAATTTCTGGCTTTGAATAACCTCTAAAATGTTGATAAGGCGTAAAAATCGAATCAAGTAATTAATCAAATACTGATTTGCTACGGAGGCATGTCATTTCGATTTATTTACCTTCTCTAGAATATAAACTATAAATTATAAATAGAAACAAAGTGAGAAACACTTTCATATATTGATTGTAATGTACAATTGGTCCCCCACTTTATATCCACATTATAATTTTTAACAAACTCTGATTAGATATGAATGCACGTCTTCTTCCCCACCTATGGGTTAATTAGTAAGACTTGTATCACTAAACTATTATCATATCAAAAAATATCTTACATTCTAAAAATATTTTCTGGCTTTAAATACCCTACAATAAGTTGATAAGCCGTCAGAAACAAATCAATCATTCAACATCAAAAAGGACATATTAAAATAAAAATATATTAAATTAAGGGGAAGAAGAATAAGGAGAAATAGTAAATCGAAAAATTAGAACAAAAAAAAGAAGGTGACCATTATCGTTCCTCGCTCTTCAGGGGTCAATCGAGGACCAAACAATTATAACTTTATGAAAAACGGCTAAAATATAAATATCAAAGACTGTTGAAAATACTAGTTTCAACCAACTAACATTAAGACCTAACAGCCACCCCTTCTCTTCCGAAAATATTTATGACCAAACAGCCACCCCTTCTGCTTGCTTCTTATTACTGTTTAATATTTGCATCATTTAAAGTCGGGTGAATGTCCTCGAAATGTTTCGAAATCCGTGTCAATTTTTAACCGAAGATTTGCAACTGCTTCCAATTCTGCATCACATCCGATTTCTGGAGTGAGGACTTATTATCTATATTATTTACAATTACTGCCATATCTCTTTGAAGCACCAGTTCTCGCCCGATCACTGAAGGTAAGTAATATCGAGCCTGGTCAATATTAGATTGGTGACCACTGAGCAATATGAGCTGTTGTAAGCTCGGAGACGTGCGAGTGGTATAATGAATAACACTTCGAAATAAGAGAATCGAAGAGTCTTTTATGAATTCTAGTCAAGTTCCTTAGATTCAATTATGCAGAAATATTCTTGGGAAAGTGTATATACCCAGCATCTCCTCCAAGCTATGGGTTAATGAGTAAGACATGTATGTGAAAAATTCATAATTGCAGTTACAAGTTCTATTGCCTTGAGCCAGCACAGAATGCTCAACAAACCAACTCTGGCCATGTATGAGTGCATAATGCTGTAGGCAGCGAGAGTATTCTGTGATGATGTCTTTATCTTCAGTGAGACTAATATCCTTATCTTTATTGTCACGATTCTTCCCTGTTTCTGAACCTAATTTAGTAAAAAATATTAATAATATAGATCAAACATTATAGAATGAAAATCGTAGATCTAAATCCAGTAAATACCTGTGTGTATGGTTATAAACACCCATTTCATTTTCTTTTACTTCTATGACCCATGCATCTCCAAAACGTAAGCAATTATGGCTCTCCACTGCTTCCTGACCTTTTTAGTTCGCAATAAATTTTATCTTTCTGTTATTTCTTCTAACCATCCATTTACTCAAGTTTGCAGTTCTGCTTTTATGTGATGTGTCCCTTTGGGATGTTGGCGATCATGGCTCTCCACAATTTCCTGTCTTTTTTGGCCCTTAACAAATTTTGTCTTTTTGTTATTTCTCCTAAACCCTGTTCCGTCATCCATTTACTCAAGCTTGTTCTGCTTTTATGTGATGTGTCCCTTTGAGATGTTGGCAATCATGGCTCTCCACAATTTGTTGTCCTCTGTAGCTCTTAACACATTTTGTGTGTTTGTTATTTCTCCTAAACCCTGTTCCACTTTCCATTTACTGAATATCCCTAATTATTTTATGCATATCTTCTCCCCCCACCCACATGTCTTCAATCTGCTCAATTTCCTCATTATGTGTCCTAGAAATTTCAATTGTCTCGTCCTGACGTTAACTATAAGTTTCCTTTTTGTTTTCATTTTCTCTAAGAAATTCTCTAACCGGTCCTGTGTTGTTCTCAGCATCATTCTGTAAAACCCGATTTTTATTGACTTAAGTAACCTCTTTATCTTTGAATAGATTTATTAGCATTTATTGTCATCCAGTAGGACAGATAACACGCAACATTTTAGCAATCTTCTCCTTGATTCTAACGAAGTTTTTCGACTTCTTAATACCCTGCTTATCATTTGGTAGGCATCTTTGGCTATCTCAATACGTCTTCGGATTTCAGTGCTGCACTTTCCGTCATCTGTTAAAACATTTCCTAGATATTTAATTGTTTGTACTTTTTAAAGTTTAGTATCTCTGATTTACAATTCATCCATTTACTATCAACCATAGATTGTGTTCTTGCAGATTATATTTACTCTTTTCTTCTCGTTTTCCTTCACCATCTTCAGTGGGAGGTTTTTGTATTTATTTTCCCATCTACATATACCCAAACCAAATAAATATTTAAGACTTGAATATAAACGACCAATTCCCGAGGCGAATAATTACAGACGCAAATATAAACGGCCAAAATTTACCTATCCTCGAAAAAGTAATGTTTATAGACTGAAACAGAGGCGACCAATATTTGCCTATCCCAGAATTAAATGCTTGCTGATTTAAGTATAGGAGACTTGCCTATCCTCCAAACAAGCAACTGCTTACAATCATATAGAAATGCACAATATTTATATATCACTGAACCATTAAATGTTTATAGAATCAAATAGAAGCAAGCAATATTTCCTTATCCCAGGATAAATCAAATGTTGTCAGATTCAAATATATACAGCCAATATTTATCTATCCGTAACCAAGAATTGCTTATAGATTCAAATATAAACGGCCAATCTATCCAGAGACCAAATATAATAATGAAAAAGATTAAATTCGATATTACTTAACGCGATAAGTGTTGTTATATTATATAATCAAAATTTTAGCCATTTTATTTGTCTCCTTATCTTTCTTCCACTCACTCTCTGTAGTTCTTTAATACTGTATCTTTCTAGTTCACTATCTCTCTCTCTCTCTCTCCAGTTCTTTCTTGCTATCTCTCTCTAATCTTCTATCTCTAGTTCGTTCTTACTTTCTCTTTCTATCTCTCAAGTTCTTTCTTCCTATCCCTCTCTAGTTCTTTAATACTTTATCTCACTAGTTCATTATACCCCTCACTCTCTAGTTCTTTCTTTCTTTCTCTCTCTCTCTAGATCTTTAATAGTCTCTCTATTTCCTTCTTGCTCTCTCTCTCTAGTTCTTTCTTCCCCCCTCTCTCTCTCTAGTTCTTTACCATTTTCTCTATTTCATTCTTTCTCTCTCTCTCTCTTTCTCTAGTTCTTTCTACCGATGTCTCTCTAGTTCTTTAATACGCTCTCTAGTTCACTATACTCATCTCTCTCTCTCTCTCTCTGACAGGTTCTTTCTTCCCATTTCTCTCGAGTTCTTTAACACTCTCTCTAGTTAATTATGCCTCTCTCTCTCTCTAGTTCTTTCTCCCTATCTCTCTCTAATCTTCTTTCTTTCTAGTTCGTTCTACCTCTCTCTCTCTCTCTCTAGCTTTTTCTTCATATCCCTCTCTAGTTCTTTAATTCTCTATCTCTCTAGATAATTTTACTTTTCTCTTTAGTTCTTTCTCCCTATCTCTCTCTAATCTTCTATCTCTCTCTAATCGTCTATCTCTCTAGTACGTTCTCTCCCCTCTCTCTCTCTCTCTCTAGTTCTTTAATTCTCTAGTTCATTATAACTTTCTCTCTAATTCTTTCTTCCTATCTCTCAAATTCTTTAATATTTTATCTCTCTAGTTAATTATACCTCTCTCTCTTCTCCGTTCTTCCTCTCTCTCTCTCTCTCTCTCTAGTTCGTTCTTCCCCCCCCTCTCTCTCTTGTCCGTTCTTCCTCTCTCCCTGTAGTTCGTTTTTCCTCTCTCTTTAATACTCTATCTCACTAGTTCTTTCTTCCTCACTCTCTTTCCCTCTAGTTTGTTCTGCCTCTCTCTCTCTCCCCCCTCTCTCTTGTTCTTCCTTCCTCTCTCTATGCATTTCTTTCTTCCACTATTTCCCTCTCTAGTTCTTTCTGTCTACTTTTATACTGTACCTCTCTCGTTTGTTCTACCCGCCTCTCTCTCTCTCTCTCTCTCTCTCTCTGCAGTTCGTTCTTCCTCTCATTTTAGTTCTTTCTTTCTCTCTCTCTCTCTCTAGTTTAATACTCTATCTCTCTATTTCCTTCTACCTCTCACTCTCTAGTTCTTTCTTTCTCTCTCTCTCATTAATTAGTTCTACCTCTCTCTGTCTCTATAGTTCTTTCTTCCCATCTCTCTCTAGTTCTTTAATACTCTATCTCTCTGGTTCGTTCTTGCTCTCTCTCTCTCTCTCTACATTCTCCCCCTCTCTCTCTAGTTCAATCTTCTATCTCTCTATTTCATTCTTCTACTCTCTCTCTCTCTCTCTAGTTCTTTCTTCCCTTCTCTCTCTTTCTAGTTCGTTCTCGCTCTCTCTCTCTCTCTAGTTCTTTCTTCCTTTCTCTCTCTTTCTAGTTCGTTCTCGCTCTCTCTCTCTCTCGAGTTCTTTCTTCCTTTCTCTCTCTTTCTAGTTCGTTATCGCTCTCTCTCTCTCGAGTTCTTTCTTCCTATCTCTCTCTCTAGTTCCTTCGTTCTCTCTCTAATTCTTTTTCCTCTCTCTCTATCTCTCTAGTTCATTCGTTCTCTCTTTCTAGTTCTTTTTCCTTTTTCTCTATAGTTGTTTCTTCCTCTCTCTCGCTAGTTCGTTCTTCTCCCCCCTCTCTCTCTAGTTCTTTGTTCCTCTCTCTCTAATTTGTTTTTCCTCTCTCTCTATCTCTCTCTTCATCTCTCTCTTTTTCTCTTTCTTCCTCTGTCTATCTTTCTAGTTCGTTCTTCCTCTGTCTGTCTCTTTCTTTAGTTCTTTCTTCCTCTCTCACACCAGTTCTTTCTTCCCCTTCTTTCTCTCACTCAAGATATTTTTTCTATCACGGCATTCATTTTTTTATTATTTTTTCACACTAGTTATAATTCCTTTACGTTCTGATGTGGACCCAAAGTTGGGACCACGGAAGGAAAACACGGAACACGGATTTGAGGTAAGAAAGAGATATTAAACAAAAAGGTTACAAAGATAGTGTAAGTGTAAGTGGAGCTTACTATGTGCTAGTGTCCAATATTGGTAGTCGTACGCGGCTGATATTACGGTATTAAAACTCTCTCTCTCTCTCTCTCTCTCTCTCTCTGTGAAGAGTCCATGTTGTAGGTATGTTACGGTCTCACAACATTTTCATATTTTTCCTTCTTTTTACCACTCCCTTCTTTTTATTTTTTCTTTCTTTTAACTTCACCGCTCCTTCCTTCAGTCACGTTCTCGTTTTCTTTCTCATTTAACTTAATTATATAACCTCTCTCTCTTTATTTATTACATTTTTATTTTCATTTCTTCCTTTTTCCTTTCTTTCTTTCTTTCTTTTTCTTTTTCTCATCACTCTCATCTTCCATAAAAGGCTCCTTCTTATGTAAAACATCCCAGAATCTTACTTATTCTGGGCAACAATAATAAAAAAAAAACGTACAGAGGGAAAAAAGCGTTGAAATTACCAATGAAAGAAGTCGAATTTATAGTTCTGAAGCTCTTCAACATAATCCATCATTTTTATCGCACATTCTCCTCCCCGACTGATTATTTTTCTACCTTTGTACCCTATTATATTTTTAATTTGTTTTTTTTTCTCTCCTTTTACCTTCCGCACCTCATAAATCTGTTAATGATAAAAATCAGAAGCCAGTCAGCCATATTGGAAATTGGCCTCAAAACACTTTTAGGGGAAAAAATAAAATGGCTGAAATAAGAATGTAAAAGAAAGCAGTGCATCCCTAAATTCAAAATTTAAACTGCATTAAATTAGCATGTACAAATCCAATATTTATTTTAGATCATTGTCGGTAAAAAAAAAATAAAAATCTTTTTTAAGTTATCGGTGATTTAGAAAAACATTTCTGTATATTCATTAAATCACTTAAATTTAAGAATTATATCTTTCTTCTTTTCCGTTAGCTCCTTATTCAGTCAGTCAGTTAATGCGTACATTACGCCGTGCCAATACCTGATAAATAATAAACTATTCACTTTAGTTTACGGGGAAAGACAGAAAAGACATATCGGAGATGCTGACTGGTTTTAGTGAGGAAAAAAAAAAAGAAAATGAATATATAAGAGGTGATAAAGCCACCATACATTTAATTTCTGCTTCAGTGAAATGGAAACATTTTTTGTACAATGTGTACCCATGGCCAAATACAATAATAAGTACCAGAAGTGTCCAACAGATAGAATTGAAAAAGTTTGCAATAAGAAATACGGACAAACCTCTCATTCACCCCCTACAAAGGACGTCGGATGCAACGAACAAAATATGCAGGCAAAATAAAATATCGGTAGAAAAAAACTTCCAAAATCGTCAGCTATTTATTTCAAACTTCAAGGGCTTAGCGGAAAGAGTCGTATTGAGTTGAGTAACTGTGGCTGACGGTGCTAGGCTTGATTTACTTTTTAAGTCCTCTTTGACGCAAACAGGTGGTTTCCTGTGAACTATACTCTGGTTAAGTTAGACTCTATTTGTTTACCTATTCAATGTAATTGGTGTTCCTGGCCTGTTCCCGGAATTCTCTTTTATGGTCCAGGTCAAGATTCCCAACACACCCAATCTGTTTGTCCCTTGTTTTACAAGGTAATCAAAAAAGTTCTGTCTTTTTTTTTTCAAAGGAAAAAAAGAAAACGCTTCACAGTATTTGTAACTTATATTTAGTCTTCGAAGTAATCGCCATCGGCATCTAGCACCTTCTGCCAACGTGTCTCTAGCTGTTCAATGCTCTTGCGGTAGAACTCGGAGTGGGGGGGGGGGGTGACGCAAAGAAGTCTACTTCATTGGTGAAGGATTTCCCACGAAGATGATTATCCAGAGAGTGGAAGAGGTGGTAATCGGATGGCGCAAGATCAGGTGAATAAGGTGGATGGCGCAAAGTCTCCCACCCAAGTTGCTGTATGGTATCCCTGACCACTCGCGCGACATGCGGCCTGGCGTTGTCATGGAGGAAAAGCACACCTTTACGATTTACCAGTGCTGTCTCCTTCTGTTGCACACGTTTCAATTGCTGCGAGTATAGGTCTCCAGTAACCGTTTGGCCCGTTGGTAGCAGTTCATAATGAACCACTTGACGACCTGTCCACCAGACACAAAACATAATCTTGCGTGGGTGCACAGGCGGTCTTGCGGTGTGAGGAACAGCATCCTGGAGACAACCAATGTCTGGAACGCTTGGGAGTTTCGTACAGAACCCACTTTTCATCACTAGTAAGCACTCAATTGAATAAGGATGCGGTACGGTGGCGAGAAAGCAACCATACACAGGCTGCCACTCGTTGTCCCTTGTGGACCTCCAACAGCGTTTGAGGAACCCACTTACTCAGTTTGTACGTCTTACCTTGGCGGTGCAGGTGAAGTCTAACTGTTTCATCGGAAACGTTGAACTGTCTTGCAAGTTCATCACACGTTAGACTACTGTCCTCTTCAATGGCCGCTTCAGAACTCCGTCATTCAAAACCCGTGGTCGTCCACTGCGAGGCTTATCATGGAGAGAGAAATCTCCCGACTTGAATTTTCGAAACCAACGCCTTGCATTACGTTCATCCACAGCACTATCCCCAAACGCTTGACATATGCGGCGACTTGATGCAGCTGCTGATAAGCCCACTTTGAAGTCGTAAAGCAAACAGCTCCGAACGAGATCTCTAGACACTTCCATCCTTCTCACAGATGCCCGGCTTCTAACTGATGGCCGGGCACGGTGCGCGTGTTTTTTTAATAACGTCTGATGTTCCTACTTCCGGCTATCCGAATTTGAAAACAATTGCTACACGCATTTCGTATATATTTTAACTTCATTCAATGACTAATCAAAAAACGGACAGAACATTTTGGTTACCTTGTAGTATCTTGACTGAGTCAATCTTTGATTTTCCCACTTCATTATTCCCTTTTTACTTTGTATGCTTCTTGAGTCTGTTGATAGAATACAGCAAGCGATCTTATTAATTTTGAGGGCTCGATAATTTCTTTTATTTTTATTTTGAATGTTTTCTTTTCTTTTATTTTTTGATTTTGGGTTTGTCCCTCCCGCCTCATTTCATGTTCATGAAATTTTTATATATGTATACAGAAAAAAAAATGGGAAAAAAATAGACATTTTGAACTTTTAAAATTTTTATTTCATGGAATATTTTATAGCTTCCCAGTGAAGATGTGGTATTGTGTTAATGTAGGATTGAATGGTGATGGATGAGTTTTTCTGGGGAGTGAGTAAATTGTAATGAATGAATCGGTCTACGATAGGTAATGTTGACCAGCCCCTTCGACCTTGTGCCACAATTACGTATTTTAAAACATAATAAATAATCATTCCAGATTTGTTTGAAACTAACACTTGTCAATATTGTATCTTTTCATTTGTACCCACTTACTTCATTAAATAACGACCTGCAAGCATATTTATTATTGCTATTGCAATATTTGATTATGGCTGCATAACTGACATTATTATTATTATTATTATTATTATTTCGTTTGATTTCTGGGGTGTACTCATTTCTTTCACAGTCCCGCCTAGAGACCTAAAGTCAGAAATGGCATCATGACATTTTCCACTGACCAATTAAAACACACACACACACACACATACATATTTTACATAGATAAAGCCCTTCGTAAGCTGTGGGGAGTACTCGTGAGAACAACTTTCTGTATTTCTATAAGGCATGAGCTACCAGGAATTGCTTCAATGAGTCTAGTGGAATCTTTCCAATCAAACCGAGGGCTCCAACTACAAAAGAAATTGTTGATATTTTCATGTGCTTCATTTTTGAGATTTCGATTTCAAGGTCCTTGTATTTTGATAGCTTTTTGAAGATCTTCAAAGATATCTTGCAGTCTACAGGGACTGTCATATCAATAAGGAGGGACTTTTTTGTGTGCGATCTCTAATAAAAATGTCTAGGCAGTTAGATTTGATTGTCCTGTCTGTGTGTATTGGGTAGTCCCATGAAATTTTTACAGATTCTGTCTCTGTAACCGGGACAGGGTGTTATTATTATTATTATTATTATTATTATTATTATTATTAGAAGAAGAAGAAGAAGAAGAAGAGTAGGGGCTAGTGAGAAAATTGCTAGCAATGACGCGTAATGTTTTTAAAAAAGAGGAAAGAAATAATGAGACATTGATACGATCAAAGAAATGTTGTCCCTAGCTCTTCTCGACTTCCCATCTTTTGTTGCTCTATGTAAGTGAACTTTTGGAAATATTTCATTCCAATTGGCTTAATAATTAATAAAATGATCAAGAAACGGAATAAAAAAATGAAAAACAATAAGTGTAATAGTATGTTAATAACACCTGATAAGACTGAATGTTACACGCGTGAAAAGGATTGTTTATTCAGGTCTAGAGGTCGTCAAATTAATATCTACCGTCGAAGATATGTGGTTTCAGGTTTTTCTTCGAATTATCGATCATCTTCTTGGAAAGATGCAAAGAGATCTTAAGTGACATCGAGTAAAAAGCTCTGACTAGCTTAGACCAGCTCTGACTAGCTTGGACAAGCTAAGACCAACATAGACCAGAGGCTCGAGTGAAAAACACTCGGGTCCCCACGTTAAAAACTGACCTTGTGTCACAACCTGACTCAGTGGGGGGGGGGGTCAAGTAAATACCGTGTAAACCCCACCGTGGAGGGATTTTGCATGGCTTATCATCTATCAGTTGCGTCTCTGTTCTTGGATAGAGTGCGCTCAGGGGCTCAGGGGCTTCTTTTTCAAAAGACAGAGGCGCAACTGAGAAAATTATACCGAAGGGGTGCCCAGCCCTGAGGAACATCCAGGTGTACGCGCTCAGGTCCCCACCTAAAAATAGACCTTGTGTCACATCTCGTCCTAGTGGGGGGGACAGAGTAAATATCGTGTGTAAACACCTCCGTGGAGGGATTTCGCATTGCTTATCATCTCTCAGTTGCGTCTCTGTCCTTGGACAGAGTGAGCACAGGGACATCTCTTTCAAAGGACAGAGGCGCAACTGAAAAAATGATACCGACGGTTGCGTGGTCTTAGGGCAGTTTTGTCTTTGTCCCGGGCGTACGCGCATGGTTTCCCACGTAAAAGCGACCATGTGTCACATCTCGTCTAAGTGGGGGGAAGGAGTTAATACTGTGTGTAAAACCCTCCTTTGAGGGATTTTCAACAGGCTTATCATCTCTCAGTAATGTCTCTGTCCTTGGACAGAGTTCTCTCACGGGCTTCTCTGTCAAATAACAGAACGGCAACTGAGAAAATTATTCTGAGAGGTGCGAAGCCCAGTGGAACAGATGCCCGAGGCCGCGGCCTCCTATTGAACCAGAGGGAGGGATCGGTACTTGTACCGAGGCCATCGCAAGCGACGGTTGCGGTGACTGAGGGCAATTTTTGACCTTTTTCTGAGCGTACACGCTCGGGTCCCAACCTAAAAAAGACCTTGTGTCACATCTCGTCCAAGTATGAGAAAGCAGTTAATACTGTGTGTAAACCACTCCGTGGGAGGATTTCACATGGCTTATCATCTATCAGTTGTATCTCTGTCCTTGGAGAGAGTTCCCTCAGAGGCTTCGCTGTCAAAGGACAGAGGAGCAACTGAGAAAATTATACTGTAGCAGTGCCCAGTCCTGGGGAACAGGTGACCGAGGCCGCGCTCTCCCATTGCACCAGAGGGAGGTGTCGGTGCGCGCACCGGGGCAAGCACAACCGACGGTTGCGGTGGCTGACGGCAATTTTTGTCCTTGTCCCGGGCGTACGCTCCTGGGTCCCCACCTAAAAAACACCTTGTGTCACATCTTGTCCAAGTGTAGGGAATGATTTTATACGGTGTGTAAACCCCTCCTTGGAGGGATTTTCAACGCAGGCTTATAATCTCTTAGTTACGTCTCTGTCTTTGGACAGTGTGCGCTCAGGGGCTTCTTTGTTAAAGGACAGAGGGGAAACTGTGAAAATTATACTGAGAGGTGCGCAGCCCTGGGGCACAGATGGCCGATGACCGCACTCTCCCGTTGAACCAGAGGGAGAGATCGGTGCTTGCACCTAGGCCATCGCAACCGACGGTTGCGTTGGCTGAGAGCAATTTTTGACCTTGTCTCGTGCGTACACGTTCGGGCCCCCACCTAAAAAAGACCTTGTGTCTCATCTCGTCTAGGTGGAGGGAAGGAGTTAATACTGTGTGTAAACCCCTGCGTGGAGGGATTTCGCATGTATTATCATCTCTCAGTTGCGTCTCTGTCCTTGGACAGAGTGCGCTCAGGGGCTTCTCTGTCCAAGGAGATAGGGGAAACTGACAAAATTATACTGAAGAGGTGCCCAACCCTTGGGAACAGCTGCCCGAGGCCGGACCCTCCCATTGCACCAGAGTGAGGGATCAGTGCTCGCACCCAGGCCAGCGCAATCGACGGTTGCGGAGGCTGAGGGCAATTTTTTTTCCTGTCCTGGATGTACGCGCTCTGGTTCCCACCTAAAAATATACCTTGTGTCACATCTTGTCCTAGTGTTGAATACTTACCGTGTGTAAACGGTTCTCTCGATAGTTACCGGTCACAGGGCTCCGTCCCTGTGCTGGTGGTATCACGGCTACGACTAGCTTGGACCGGCTATGACCACCTATCACAAGCCATGAATAGCTTAGACCAGCTCTGACCAGCTTGGACATGCTATGACCAGCTAAGACCAGCTTAAACCAACGGCCTGATTGAAAACACTCGGATCCGCACCTTAAAAACTGACCTTGTGTCACAACCTGAATCAGTGGGGTGTCAAGTAAATATCGTGTAAACGGCTCGAATGTTATACACAATCTGATACTTACCGGTTACAGGAAGATTGCTCTCTCAAGTTTCTAATATTTATCATCCCACAGTTGCATCTCTGTCCTTGGGAAGAATTCTATAAGGGGCGACTCTGTCGTTTGACAGAGTCGCCCCTGAGAAAAATTATACTGAGAGGTGCCCAATCCTGAGGAATAGATGCAAAATGCCGTGCTCTCTCCTTGCACCTTGTGTCACAACTTGTCTTAGTGGGTGTACAGATTAAATACCTCGTGTGTAAACTGCTTTACCTACTCCGATACTTACCGGGAACAGAGATCAGTCCCTGCTCTGGTAGTATCGCCATAAGACTCGCTTGAACCGGCTCTGATCAGCTTGGACAAGCTAAGACCAGCGGTCCCACTGAAGACACACGTGTCCCCACGTTAAAAACTGACCTTGTGACACAACCTGACTCAGTCTGGTGGTCAAGTAAATCACCGCTCTCTCGAGTGGTTTAAACACTCTGATACTTGCCGAGCACAGAGATCAGTCCCTGCGCTCGTAGTATCACGGCTTGGACCGGCTCTGACCAGCTTAGGACCAGCTATGACCAGTTTTGACACAGGTCTCCACTTTAGAAAAATGGCCTTGTCTCACAACCTCACTCAGTGTTTGGGGGGGGCTTTTCAAGTAAATACAAACTGCACTCTTGAGCAGTTCGTAACACATCTATTTATCATCTTTCAGTTGCATCTATCTCTTCGGGTAGAGTGCGCTCAGGGACAGAGAGGCAACTGAGGGGAATTCTACTGAGAGGTGCCCAGCACTAGGGAAGTGCTGCCCGAGGCCATACCCTCTCGTTGCAACAATAGAGTGGGATCAGTGCTTGCACCGAGGCCAGCACAACCGACAGTTGTTGGGTGTGCGGGCAATTTTTGATCCTAGGCCAGGTGTACGCGCTCGGGTCCCCACCTTAAAAACTGTTCTTGTATCACAACTCGTCTTTGTGGGGAGACAGAGTAAATACCTACTGTGTAAACTGCACATTTGTTTTGTAGTTTGTAAATTTATCATCGCACATTTGCGTCTCTGTCAGTGGGCAGAGTGAGTTCAGGGTTGACTCTGTCAAAGGACAGATTCGCAACTGAGGAAAATTATACTGAGAGGTACCGAGCCCTGGGGAACAGCTGCACTAGAGAAAGGAATTGATGGTCGCACCAAGGCCAGCGCAGTCGACGGTGGGAATTTTTAATCTCAGATTTCGTGGGAGAGTTGAGCCCTAATTTAGCATTTTTATATAGATTCCATAGCATAGGTTTTAATCAATTAACTATTTTGTTTCTCCAATTCTTCAAATGTTGAATGCTTAACTAATTTAAATTTCTGTTTTCCTCTCTTTACACAATTTTTTAAAATTTTATTTTGTAAATTTTCCTCTGTTTTGTTACCCTTCAAATATAAATAATTGTTTTTACGGAAAATAAGGATCTACGTACATCAAATCGTTTTTAAATGAAGTGGCAGCAGAAGAATTATCATTGAACTTTTAAAAGGTAAGCTTAAACATTAATTCAATATTTAAATATAGCGATCAATTTTGAGTTCTTCTGTAGTTTATTGATGCCTCTCGCATCTACTCCACCCTAGCTAACATTTCTAAGACTTTTGAATGAGCTACGAATCTTTGAAATCAGACCAGTGGAAGCAAAGGAGTTGCTTGGGGACACACACACACACACACACACTCACTCACTCACTCACTCACAAACACACACTGACAAACACACGCACATACACTCTACTTTATATATAAGATAATGTTTTTTATAAACTCTACTTTGTATTCAAGCATTTTTCTTTAATTTCAGCACAAGCAAGGCAATAAATCCACTAAGACGGAAGTAGTTATGGAGCGTTAGGGAATATGAAAAGAAAACGCTATAAATGAGAGAAACCAATAAAAAAAGAAAAATGAAGACAAAAGACAATTATCCTCGTCTTCATTGCCATATTCAAAACGATTCGGCCGTTGTACGCTCAGGCATTCTTCAGGTGTTTTGAATTTCAAACCGAACCCTTTATTTCATCCACCGGGGTAGATTGTTCTAGTTTCACGGGCCATGCCTCTTGTCAAAATGTCTCAGTTATTTTCCTTTGACAATCTATTCCGGTGGACGAAACAGCGTGTTCGGTTCGAAATGAGCCGAAACGTTGTGAATATGGCAATGAAGATGATGATACTAGTCCGAATAATGTAAATAATCATAATACCTCATCTCAGGAATATAGACAGGCAAAAGACAACGGTTGACATTTCTTTTAATGCTGGAATGGAGTTCTACAAATGAGAAAGGTGATAGAAAAAACTGTTCGCATAGAACAACTTGTATTTTTAAATATTATTCACTTAAAATATCTTTTCAAATCAGATTGACTTAAAAATATTTTTAATACAAGAAAATTATTTTAAATATGGCGAAAGATATTTGTTAAATATTTAAAATATTGTTTAAAGAAAACTGAAATATAAATAATTAGGTGGACGAAACAGAAAAGCGGAATAACTTTGTGTGTGTTTTCAACTTTAAAATATTTTAACTAAAAAATTGTCTGTTTGATGAAAGTTAAAGTAAAAATACTTACTGAATAAAAACTCGTATTTTTAAATCTTATTCACTTAAATCAGATGAACTTAAATCAAGCACGCACGCAATCACAGAGAGGTGAAAAAAGAGTGGCGGAAAGAGTGAGTTGGCAAGAAGGAGAGGTAGGAAGAGAGAGAATTGGAAAGAGAGAATTAGAAAGAGAGAGAGAGAGAGAGACAGAAAGAGTGAGATGGAAAGAGAGAGTTAGAAAGAGAGAGACAGACAGAAAGAGTGAGGTGGAAAGACAGAGATGGAAAGAGAAAAGCAGAAAGAGTTAGGTGGTAAGAGAGAGAGAGAGAGAGAGGTGGAAAGGGAGGAAGTTGAAATGAGAGAGAGGTTGAAAGAGAGAGGTGGAAAGATTGAGGTGAAAAGAGAGAGGCAGAAAGAGTGAGGTGGAAAGAGAGTAAGGTGGAAAGAGAGTAAGGTGGAAAGAGAGAGAGGGGTAGAAAGAGAGAGGTGGAAAGAAAGATTGATCATTATTATGCACCAGACGGATGACGTATGGCGTAAGCACGAATCACAGACTTTTAGTTTTATATAAATAGATAGATAACTGTATGTGATATATTCGAATTGAAAGAAAGCCATTAACATTTTAAATGACTTCTCTTTTCAGGGCGTAGGCGATTATGGATTACCACAGATTTCTTTTTTTTTATGATTTGTAAATTGCCAGTTTTTCTCGTGAAAGATAAGGGATGCCTTTCTTTCTCTTACATTAACTAGCATTCAAAGCTAAAGAATCCTGTTTACTTTGTTATTTACCCTAAAACTGGTGGATGGAAGAAAATAAGGTCCCATATTTTTCCCAATTAATACTTAATGCAAATGTGAAAACAGCAGACTAAATTTGAACTCAAAGTCTTCTTTGCTCCTTGTCCTTTAGAGGTGTGAACGATCATGGCACTCCACAATTTCCTATCCTTTGTTGATTTTAGTAAATTTTGTGTTTTTGCTATCACTCTTAATCCATTTTCTACCAACCGTTTATGCAATTTTTTTAGGTAACTTATGCACTACTTTTCTCTGTCCCTTTTGCCTTTAAGCTGTCCTGTGAGTGTCAAATTTTCCAAACACACTTTCTTCATTATATACCCTAGAAATTTCAAGTGTTCCTTTCTGATGTTAAATATAAGTGTCCTTTTTGTTTTTGTTTTCTCTAAAACTTCGTCATTGCTCACAAGTTCAGTCCATGGCATGCTTACTATCCTTCTGTAGAACCACATAGTCTCTTCTTCATCTGTGAAGATATTAACTGCTATTTTGGAGGATCGATATTCTTTAAGAGTACAGTAGCCTTTTCTTTGTTTCTGAAGAGATTTTCCTATTTTATAATACTTTGTTTTGCTTTTGAAAGGCATCTTTCGCTATCCCAATATTCTTTCGTATTTCGATGTCGTATTTCCATCGTCTTTTAATATGTTTCTTTTGTATTGGCTTGATTATGGCATCGACAATTTATAATTGCAATGTGGGGCTTGACTTTTAGCTGACAGCCATCCATTTTATCTTCTTGCAATTGATGTTTAGTCCTTGAATTCATTGCTACGATTGCTTTTATGAATGTTGGATCACTGCATCTTGCTAGACAATCTTTTTTCTACAGAATCTATCTTACATATTTATAAGTCTACCAGTCGTCCATGGTTTGAATATTGCTGTCACATATCGTCCGGTGCTTCTGCTGTATATTTAAAGGATGATTGATAAACTCCATAGAAGAATCAGCAATATTATTGGTCCTGATCTGGCGCCTCGGTTTTCAATCATTCTCCCATCATCGTAATATAGGTTTCCTGTACCTTTTCTGTAAATATTTTCATGGTAATTATTCGGATAAGGTCTTCGCTTTGGTAAGTCAAATTTATGAATTTATGTCAGTACTTGATTAGAAACAAGTTTTCATCAATTTACAGATTATTTTCTCGCACTTCTCGCTCGAGGAACATTCTTACGGCTCCACGTTCTCCACCCAATTTTGAGCTTCAAAAATTTAAATGCAATGTTAATCGTTATCTACTGTCTTTCTTATGACTATTCTGTTGTTCTTGCTCCTTAATAATGTTTCTATTTTCTCATTCTTTTACACCCAGTAACCCCTTGTGTCTGAGCTGCTTTATTACCTTTCAAGTTTGAAAAGATATAAAAACGTTCTTTTCGCTTTGCTTTTTACCAATTCTACGACGTCGACAATCTCTTCTCTTATAATGTTTAATCTAATTATATAAATTACTTTTGTACGACATAATTGTCCGATATTTTTGTAGGCTTGAAACACGGGATGATCGAGTCTGGTCTATAAAGCAACCTATTAGTCATACAGTAGTTGTCTTGGATAAGTTTCACAACGCTGACGACAAAGGCGATCATTATCGATTTGAATCAATTAACAATTAATAAGTGGAAGACAGGAAATGAAGGTGATAAAATTTTCAAGGAGCTGATTGTCCCTCAATCGAAAGAAACGTCCGTAAGAAAAAAATCAAGATGGCTGATAGTGTGAAAAATCTTTTGCGGGAGATTTCACCAAGACCAATATATACGTAAAAATCCGCAGATGACACGACAAAATGTGTTTAATAATAATAATGTCAATTTTTTGAGAATTAAAAGAAGATTTTTCCCGATATAAGTTCCACTGTTTAGCCCATAGCTAGGAAGAAGATATATTCATATTCTTCCCGAGTGTATTTGCGTGTAAGTGATTGTAACGAGCCAGACAAGTAAATATGGGAAGATTGATACGAACAGACTCAAACAGATAGATGCGAACAAACTGAGATAGATAGATACGAACAGACACGGGGATATATATATATATATATATATATATATATATATATATATATATATATATATATATATATATATATTGTCGTCTACAGAGAGATTTTTCGCTGCTCATCAGACTTCCGATTGCCTCAAGCCGGGATCAAAACTCGACTAATTTGGTATTAGTCAGAGATTGTTACCTCTAAGCCATTTGTTCACAGAAGAGATAAGGGTGATTTTAGACGTATTTATTTTTAGACAAACACGCCAGTTACCGGAGAACTCGATTCGTCTTAACGAAGAGTCTTGCATCAGCAGCAGTAATAATCACTGTTTACAAATTCACTTTTCTCCCCGAAGACCTCAACTGAAATAATTTATTTCAAGAGCATGTATATATATTGTAATCCACAGACTGTTTCGCTGTTTCACAGCTCATCAGTGTGGTAGACATCCGATTGCTTCAAACTGGGATCGAAACACAATTGATTTGATATCAATCGGAGATTTTACCCCTAAGCAGGGATGAAGGCGAATTTAAACGTATTTATTTTTAGAAAAACACACCGGAGAACGAGAGAGAGAGAGAGTGAAAGAGAGAGAGAGAGAGAGAGAGAGAGATTAACGTGCTAGGGTAGATAAATAGGAACAGACGAGGATTTAAATATATAAATATATAAATATATATGGAAAGAGAGAGAGATTAACAGGCTAGGGTAAATAGATAGGAACAGACGAAGATTTAAATATATATATATATGGAAAGTGAGAGAGAGATTAACAGGCTAACGTAGATAGATAGGAACAGACGAGGATATATATATATATATATATATATATATATATATATATATATATATATATATATAGAGAGAGAGAGAGAGAGAGAGAGAGGGGAGAGAGAGAGAGAAAGAGATAGATAATTTTGAGCATATGGCGGTCAATAATAATGATGAATCTCAAGTAGATTGGTTTGAACAGAAATTGATAAATAAAGTAAATTGTTTTGTCTTAAGCATTCTTAAACTGGCCGACTTAATTATTTCTCTGTATACCATTTATTTTTTCCCCATCCCTGTCTAGATTGAGGCTAATTGCTGTCATTGCTCTCCTCTTCAAATTTCCCATGATTAGCAAAAACCTCGAAGTGATCTCAGCTATTAGTTGATAAAAGGCAGCTGATCGACATATTCTTTAATTTCTCCAAAGACTAATATTCACTTTATCCTCGACATCCAACGAAAACAAAAGAACAAAATCAACAATGATATGTTTCTACTAACGCGAAAGCATTTCTACAATTAACGATCAAACCTGTCTTATTATAATGCGGTTAGGACATAACAAATTGGATTTCTACGACATAGGATTTTTGATAATGAAGAAAATATAAATGTCGAAAGCAGTCACATAATTATGTGCCACTTCACACACAGAAGGAATAATGAGTTAGACACATAGGAAAATAATTATATATTTATATATACATATACGTACAAAATATAAAAGTGGACATTGAAGTCAACACTCAGAGGCGACAGACTGTTTCATGCTAAACACATGGTAGCGTGACTGTTGATTTCAATGTTTACGTTTATATTTATATACGCTCTATCTCTGATATTGAGCACTTTACCCCATAAATATAATTACGCTAAATCTATCTATCTATCTATCTATCTATCTATCTATCTATCTATCTGTGTGTGTGTGTGTGTGTGTGTGTGTGTGTGTGTGTGTGTGTGTGTGTGTGTGTGTGTGTGTGTAATACCAATTGGTAATTAGTAGGGATACTTCAAAGGAGGCTATTAACCTACATATATATATATATATATATATATATATATATAGAGAGAGAGAGAGAGAGAGAGAGCGAGAGAGAAAGAGAGAGAGAAAGAGACAGAGACACTGTGGCAGATAGATAGATAGATAGATAGATAGATAGATAGATAAAGAATTGGCGAAGATGTGGATAAATAAGAAAACAGGGAAGAAATAAACTGACGTAGATAGATAGGTAGAGACAGACAGAGAGAGAGAAGTGAGGGAGAGGGACATATGAACAGAGATAAATATCTTGGAGACAGATAGGAACAGGCTGATAGATTGCTACATATATACATATAGAGAGAGAAAGTGAGATACATGGACAGACTGATATAGATAGATAGATAGATAGATAGATAGATAGATAGATAGATAGATAGATAAACATACTGATATGCATAGAGAGAAAGAGAGTGAGAGAGAGGGGGAGGTAGGGAAGCAGTGAAAATGAGAGGAGAAAAGTTAGAGAAATAGACAAGCGATAGATTGGAACAGTCTAAGAGATTACTAGATAGATAGATATATAGAGAGAGAAAGAGAGAAGTGAACAGACTGACATAGATAGATAGATAGATAGATAGATAGATAGATAGATTGATTGAGAAAGCGAGAGATAAAGCGAGTGATATGAACAATCTAGGATAAATGGAAAGAAAGAAAGAAAGGAAGAAAGAAAGAAAGAACGAACGAAAGAAAAAGAGTGATATGAACAGACTAGCATAGATGGATAGATGAATATAATGAGATACAGAGAGAGAGAGAGAGAGAGAGGAGGGAGAGAGAGAGAGAGTGGGAGAGTGGGAGTGAAAGTGAGAGGTAAAATTACTGAGATAAATAGACAAGCGATAAACAGGAATTGTCTATTAGATTACTAGATAGATATATACATAGAGAGAGAAAAGGAGAGACATGAACAAAACGAGATAGATATAGAGTGATAGAAAGAAAGAACTAAAGAAAGAAAGAAAGAAAGAAAGAAAGAGTCATATGTTCAGACTAGCATAGATAGATAAATACGATTAGGCTCTCACATGTATAAACTTACGATATAGACAAGAAATGAACGTCAATATGTGACTGGAAAACAGAACAGTGTTAAAATAGATGCAATCCACTTTTAACGGGCTGACAAAACAATGTAGGGCAATTGAAGAGAAATCAAAAATTGAGCCATTGCTTCACGATCTACAGTCGTAAGTCGGTAACGATTTCGCTAGTTAAATGGAGGTAAATCTTATCACGCTCACAGGTAGATAAATACAAAATATGTTTCCACCTCCGGTTTTCTTCCATTAGTCGCTACTCAACGCATCTCTTATTCCCGCCAACCTAATTACGCGAGTCTATTCTGGGCGTCGATGTTAGGCTTTAATGATGTCATTACCGCTGCGACAAGTAGCGAATTGAAAAAAGACGACAGCGAAATTAAAGTAATTAATCTTTGGCATTTCGCCATTCTATACTCGACGCCATATTGTTGGATGTTCCTTATTACTTTTTTTTTTTTTTACGTACGTTATATATATATATATATATATATATATATATATATATATATATATATATATATATATATATATATAATTTAAAATGAGGAGAACCGTTAAATTCATTGTCTTTGTTTCACCCTTAGGGTATCTTCAAGCGATTCTTATCAAATGATCTCTTCACGCTTTTTTTAAAAAAAAAAATCATAAACGCTATATTATTTTTTAAAAAATAAATAAGCGACTGATGTTGGCTGTAATAGAAAGGGAAGAATTTAAAAGAAAAAACAACGGAGATCTGATTGTAAGCTGGAAATATTTTAAAAAGGCGAAGCATTATAACAGCTACAGCAATATTTGCAACCTCTTCCAACAGGAAAAATTAGCAATAATGACTCTTCCGGATCCAAAGAACCTTTTCATTCAGACATCCGAAGTATTGTGTCCTTGCATAAATATGAGGAAATTCCTCTTAAGCATATTTGATACTGGATAAAAAAGTACATTTCAATTACCACCACCGCCACCACCGATATATTTATAATACACTTTCTTTTCTTCTCTTCTCTTTTTCTTCTTCTTCTTCATTATCACCTTCTTCTTCATCTTCTTCTTTACATCCTCCTTCTCCTTTTCTATGACACGCCAACGTCATGCATCTGTTTCTTTTTTTAATAATATAGTGATCAGTAGATTTTTTTTAAAAATAAATCGTTAAGAGGTCATTTGATAAAAAAATCCCCTGAGGAGACCGTAAGTATGAAACCAAGGTAGCGTATTCAACTGATCTAGGTAAAATAAGTAAAACAATACGAGAAAGAATTAATTCTGAACTTAGGAGTAAACCAGTGGAAAAATACAAAAACAACCATAGACAGGTTTCACAGCATAAATAACAAACAAAATCGCCAATTCCTACAATTAGACATAAAAGAATTTTACCCATCCATAACAGAATGCATGTTAGATAAGGCCATCAACTTAGCTGAGGAACAAATAATAATAAAACCAAGCGAAATCAACATCATTAGACACTCCCTTAGATCATTATTATTCCACAATGAAGAAGCATGGATAAAGAAAGATGGGATCTTTGACACTACAATGGGAAGCTTTGACAGTGCTTGCCCTGCCAAATCATAGGTATATACTTACTACAGGAACTAAGGAAAATAATAGATGGAAATGACACAGGACACTACAGGGACGACGGTCTCATAATCTTAAGAAACTGTAACAAACAAAACACAGACAAAACTAGAAAAGCAATAATAAAAATTTTTAAAAACAACGGATTCGACATAGATATAAAAACTAACCTAAACGAAGTAGATTTTCTAGATGTTACCTTCAACCTAACAAAAGGCACATATAAACCATATAGAAAACCTAATGCTAAACCACTCTACATACACACATCTTCCAACCCGACTTCTATAATCAAACAGATACCAAAATCGATTAACCGCAGGCTTTCCGATAATTCCTCCAATGAATCCATATTTAACAAAGCTAAGAAAGACTATGAAACAGCCCTAAAAGATAGCGGATTCCCAGCAACATTCACATACTCACTACAGAACACAAAAATGGCCAACAGGAGAAGAAATATCATATGGTTCAACTCACCGTACAGCAAAAACGTAAAAACAAACGTAGGAAAAATATTTTTCAAACTCTTACACAAACACATCCCGGAATCAAGCACCCTACACAACATATTCAACAAAAACACAGTAAAAATCAGCTACAGCTGCACTGAGAACATGGCACAAATAATAAAAAAGCACAACAGGAAAATTATTAACAAACCACGCGAAAAAATTAAACCCCCGTGCAACTACAGAATAAAGAACGAATGTCCCTTAAACGGAAATTGTTTACAAAACAACGTAATATACCAAGCCACGATAAAATCACCACATAATGAAGAAAAAGTATATATAGGAGTAACTGAAGGACCCTGGAAACAAAGAAATTATACACACAAAACATCTTTCACAAATAGTAAATATGCGAACAGTACAATGCTTTCTAAGTATATCTGGGAAATTAAAAACAAAACGCACATCACACCAAAAATATCTTGGAAAATAAGGAAAAGATCATCAGCCTACAACAACCAATCAAAAACTTGCAAACTTTGCTTAGAGGAAAAAATAGCTATCATTACTTTCCCAGACCAAAGTAAATTATTAAATAAAAGATTCGAGCTCATCTCAAAATGCAGACATGAAAACAAAGTTTTACTACGTTACTTGAAAATTGAAAAAGGAAAAAATAAAATAAAAACAAATAAATAAACAAGTAAACAAAATAACAATAAAAATAAGCAAAATTAATTAATCCAAATTACCAAATCACACCTGTTAGAATAGACGAAATAGAATAATAATAATAACAAAAAACAAAACAAAAAACAACGAACCCAAATAAATAAAGTAAATAATAAACAAAGTAGCAAACCATTATGATCAAAATATTAGTTAGACTAAAAAATCAAACCAAAAAATCGGACGAAAAAAATAGCTATAACTGTTGTATAACGATAAAAATAAATAAATAAATAAAATAAAAAACAAATAAATAAATAAATACTACGTTACTTAAAAATCGAAAACCGAAAAGAGAAAATATAGAAGTAAAATAAATTGACATAAATTCATCCAAGTAAATAAATAAACAAACCAATCCCGATAAAGTTACCATTAGAAAAAAACAAATAAAGATAATCAACCCAAATAAACACAAATTAAAAACTGTTTCTGCCAAAATAATAGTTAGAATAAACTACAACCAACCCCAAAACCGAACAAATAGCTTTAATTAAATTCGCAAACCAAAACAAAACTATTAAATAAGTGATATAAACAATTTTTTACTACGTTAATAAAAAAACACCGATTAAAAAATAAATAAATAAATAAAATAAGAAAAAAATTACATAAAAACAGGCAAAATAATTTAACCCAAATAAATAAATAAATAAACGACTTCCGGTAAAATAACCGCCATAATAGACTACCCACAATGCACCACTGACCCGTATATGTATAAATAGCCGAGAAAAATAACAGCACACGTGGCCTGACGATTGCATATAGCATAAAACAGACTGTCGCCTCTAAGTGTTGACTTCTATGTTCACTTTTATATTTACACACGCTCTATCTCTGATATTGAGCACTTTATCCCATAAATATAGCACACCTTAAGACTATATTTTTCTTCATATATATATATATATATATATATATATATATATATATATATATATATAAATGCCCTGTTATTTTACGTTGAGCACTATCTTTTTTAACTCTCAGTACTCACTCTCTGTTCATGTCTTAGTTTCGGATCATACAAGCGAACTGGCATATGCTGGTAATTATGCAATTTCTGCTACAGTGGCTGCAAGGGGAGATGACTCTAGTGTTATGTTTTTGCTTTGATTTTGTTCGGCTATCTTGTTCCTCTGTAATAAATGTCTGTCATCGACTTACGGTAGACAATACTACTAGATATTAAGTTCCTTTTATGACACCTTTCTTTAACTCTTAGCCTCTTGTTTTGTAGGCCAGTGCGCATTTCAGATCACAGTAGGATCAACCATCTTCGCCACATGGCCTGCTACAAATGTTTTTGCTTTTATTATTTTTTTAAACTTTTTGGCAATATGATCTGAACGTGATGGATAACCTGTAGATGTCTGTGTTTATAATGGATTCTATCCAGTGTAGAGACAAAAGTAATGGAAGTCTATGAGGAAACCTAACTGAGAGATTGTCCTATATTCAGTACCATAGAGCAAGGTAGACAACACGATAGCTATATAAACACATTTTCATTCTTTAGATACTTTTTGCTGTTCAGCAAAAGCATTGTTAACCATTGTCAGTTATGTGTCTATCTTGATATATTCTTTTTTTCCTGTTCAGTCTAGTCGACGAGGATCACATTTGTATCAAATTGCAAGAGTACACTTGTATTCTGACGGACTTCCAAACCAAATTGCTCTGAGGCTTTTGTAAATAGAATGTTATATGTTACAGATTGGACTATGTATGCAAATCGGGCAAAAGATGCTCTCTGACTAACTGCATTGCGCTGATTAATTTGACTTGAAGCCAGGCTGAACATGTCAACATTTGTACTTAAATGAATATTCGCTTTATTTTTACAATCAGTTTTCTCCATAGAGTGGCACTAAAGCATATTATAAAATGACTGATATGAAATATCTGGACAAGTTTTATCAGATGAAAATTGTGAAAACCAGTTGGATGTTTATTTTTTATTGTGTTTTCAACATTTCGGTCTCTACGTGCCTCCTCAGCACCGACGTAAAGATAAAATGGTTATTATTCCAAGCTTATCAATTGAAAACGATGTGGTTAATTTGAAGTTTTAACAATTAGTCATTTTTTAAATATCCGCGAACAAAACAATTAGATTTGTTGTATAGGAATGTTAAAAACAGATTTTGTTGATTTAAAAGTAAATAAAAGAGTTAGGATGAGAAAAATAATTGCGTATAGCCAAATAGAATAATGAATCCTTATCGTAAAATTTGTAATTTATCAACTTATTTAAGTGTTGAGAAAACATGACGGTCATAAAACCCGGAGGAGGGCCATACGCACAGCAGCAGTTGTGTTTCCTGTGCAAGATGACCTAACGGAGTTGAATTGTGGTTTGAATTCAGAGTTTTCCTACTATCGAAGGCAAGAAAGCACGATCTGAAGTGCTATTTGCCTTTAGTTAAGGGAAGAGGGTTAGAGTTGTGTTGTCGCATTCCCTTGGATT